TTGCAGCATTATATATGGAATCAGAGGTATAGCCATTAAATGGTTTAATTTGTATTTGAAAGCTAGAAAACAGTTTGTTTCTGTTGGTAATGTAAAATCTAATCTTAATGAAGTTGTATGTGGTGTACCACAAGGCTCAGTATTAGGTCCTTTACTTTTCTTAAAGTAATATATCAATGATTTTAATAGCTCATCTGATTTATTAGATTTTCATCTTTTTGCCGATGACTCAAATCTTTTCTACTCTGACAATAAATTATGGTCTCTTGAATTGAATTTGAATCAACAATTATTTAATATTCATAAATGGTTATGTGCCAACAAATTCTCGTTAAATGTTGATAAATCGCACTTAATTTGTTATTTTTCACCCTTTTCAAAAGAAACTTAAGTATAATGTTTGTCAGTCTTTCTATCAATAATGAAGTTCTCACTCAGAAAAGTAGTTTAAAATATTTAGAAGTAATTATTGATTCTAATCTTAGTTGGAAGGAGCTGGCATATTAAGGAACTCTGTAAAGAGATACCCGTGATACTGGAATATTATTAAGGCTTCGTAGTTTTGTTCATATTGAATTATTAATTCAGATTTATTACTCTATCATTTACCCATTTTAATATATGGTGCAATTCTATGGGGTAATACTTACAAATCTAACATTTTACCGTTGACTTTATTACGAAAAAAGGCAATACGTATTATAACTTTTTCACATCCTAGAACTCACCCTTTTCTCTTTTTAAATAATTAAATTTACTAAAATTCCTTGATATAGTTCATTATTTGACAGTCTTATTTATGTATATATCAAATCCATCATGGTACTCTTCCGCTTATTTTTTCTGATTTTTTCAAAAAAGTGGTGAATGTTCATAACTATAATACTAGGCTATCATCCGAATTAACTATGGTATGTTCAATATTAGATACTCTGGTCCACACTTATGGAATTCTATTGAGGAGTCCCTCGAATTGCTGGATATGAGACATCTGTTCAAAAAGCGACTTAAATTATTTTTTATTACGTCATATTAAAATGATAATTTTACGGCGACTTTAAAAATATTTTTTCCTCTACCTTACTTATTATGCGTGCACTTAACTTATAGACGTTGTTGTTTAGCAGATCACCTTTCTATATTAGCCCTTTATGGTTATTATAGGTGATTTTGCCGATTATTTTACAGTAAACTTTTCTATCTTTCTTGTATTTTTTTCCATATGTAATTGTATGTGTGCAAATAAATTATTATTATTATTAAGAATTGATTTAGTATGAGAAATCCTAAGTATAGGGCAAGTTTGTTTCAACTGTTTATGTATGACTTTGCATTGTATTTGATAATAGACTTTGTTCTTGTTGTTCAAGTCTTCCCTATGCATTGTATGCGAAAGTTTCTTAGTTAAATTAACTTTTGTAGAAGTTCATGACTAGGAAAGCAAATTATTTTCATTAGCGTCCTGCACGAATTAAATTTATTTCATTTCAAAGTGCGAGTAATCACTTAAAACTTGTTCTTAATTTTCAATGATTTAGACCCAACTCTCAACGGTGAAAATATGCGATTCTGACTAGCATTTTTTATCGGACACGTACTTGCTTATTTTTTATCCACTTGGCATGAAGAACATATCATTCGACAGCTAAAAGCTTGGTCTTTCCAAAGATGAAAAAATCTCGTTCATACGCAATTCTGATACAATAGCGCGTTGAAGTTCGATTACCTTTTTTATACACCCGGTATATATTACTTATTTTTTAAAGCCCTGAATGAGCTGTTGCAAATCCTTATCGAGTTCTCTCAATTCTAGGGTATCTCATTTCACGATGTCATTGTCTGTAGTAAAATATGTTTTTTTAAAATGCTGAAATTTTACGTACATTCTCCCTCGATCCTTATTTGCCAATATTTTTGCGAGTCACTTGTTTACATCCACCAAACGTCGGGGCTTAACTCGAATGCTTAAATCGTTAATTGACTTCGAGTTAAGCCCCCGGCGAAAAAGGGCGTGGCAGGGGCTTAACTCGTAAAGGGCTTTAATAACTCTCGAAAAATACCTGCTCCACGAATCAGTGGACGGTTCCGGCAATTCTAAAATCGAGAAAATTCTGAAAGTTGAAAGTTAAATTTGCAGCAAATCTATCTATCGACTCACATATTTCTTATCGATAACACAAAATTCCATATCCTTTTCGATGTCATAAATTATTTTAGAAAAATGTCTGAAAGCCCTACCTTATTTCTCATAAAAGGGTACCCTTTTTTGAGATTTGTGTTGTAAGGGAATTGGTTCGTTTTAATTACCCTTTTACGTCGATCCAAGTTTCAACTTAAAAGCGAAAAAAAAGGATTATCTAACGAATTTATACAAATCAAATGTCCATAAAAATAACTGAAAAGGGTACGATTATCCCTCAACTGCATCGTTTTGTAAAATGACGAAAAAGGGTACCCTTTTCTGTCAACCATGTTGTTTTGTACTATGTTCTTTACATAGTAATATGAAAAAGGGTACCCTTTTCTGTGAAATATGATCTGTTATAATAAGACGAAAAAGGGTACCCTTTTTTATTTAATCTGTTGATACTCAATCGGATTAAAAATGGTCTGGAATTTTATTAAAGCATAGCGTTTAATTTAAGTGTATACCAATGTATACTAATTCAAAAAGCAGTATAATTTATTCGCTTATTGTTAAATCAAAATGGTGGAGTACTTGGAGCAAAATATCGAATTAAGATGTGAAAAACTATGTTCAAAAGAATTATACTTATCGGCAGATCAGCGACATTTTCAAGCAGCATTTCCCTGGGGTTAGTCAAGGTTTCTCGGAGAGAAACATTTTGTTATTCTGTTCAAAGCGTGGAATAAGGAAACTGGACAATTTTTTAGAGGACACCATCAGGGACGCCGGAACTAGGGGGGCAGGAGGGGCAGCCGCCCCCGTTGCCCTTTATACCAGGAGGGGCAAGGGGGGGGGGGGCAAAAGTGCCATTTCAATTTAAAGGATTGCCTTGACGAAATAGCGAATTGTCAGAAATGTTAGTGTAATTCTCTTACTAATTTGCTTCAGAAAACGCAAGAAATGCAGTCATTGGACACCATTATTCAACAGTCTATCAGTGAGGTATTGTGTGCTGTAACTGATTACTTTAAATAGATATCAATATGCCATATATACGTATAGCGTTGGGCAATATTGTGAAGGCAAAACAGTTTAACATTCATAATTAATTGAAATTGAGAAGGATAATAAAAGTAACTAGTGTTAATAGTTACCTTTGATGCCTCACGAATGTGGGACATCAAACTATTGCCAGAGTGCTCAAACTGCAAGCAGTGAGCATGTGATAATCAGTTACAGCACACAATACCTCACTGATAGACTGTTGAATAATGATGACCACTTCAAAATTGTCCAGTTTCCTTATTCCACGCTTTGAACAGAATAACCGAATGTTTCTCTCCGAGAAACCTCGACTAACCCCAGGGAAATGCTGCTAGAAAATGTCGCTGATCTGCCGATAAGTATAATTCTTTTGAACATAGTTTTTCACATCTTCGATATTTTGCTCCAAGTACTCCGCCATTTTGATTTAACAATAAGCGAATAAATTATACTGCTTTTTGAATTGGTATACACTTAAATTAAACGCTATGCTTTAACGTGCGTTAACGCGAAAACGCAGTTGATAAAATTCCAGACCATTTTTAATCCGATTGAGTATCAACAGATTAAATAAAATAATATTTGGCGTTTGAACTTGACGTTTGGCGTATAAATTTCATGCTTTAACGACTACAAGCCCTCGTAGCAGTTCAAGCATGAAATTTATACGCCAAACGTCAACTTCAAACGCCAAATTTTAATTTACTGCTTTGGTGAATGGCATGACTAGTGGTTAATTTGCTTTCTTAAATCATTGCTAAAGAGCACAAGTTTAATAAGTTTAACATATTTCAAAACTGGTGTAAAAGCTATTATAAAAGAGTTGTTAAATCAAAAACCTCACTAGCGGTTTGACGTTTGCCGTAAACGTCAATCTTAAGGTCTCTATTTTAACATGCTCTTTCTGACTTTCTAGCTGTGGTGATGGATTTTGTTCTTCGTGTCTAGATCAAAATTTAGTCTATAGTTGGAATTGCCCATTCCGCACAAATAATTATGGGCATATTAGGAACAAAGTCTTTGTGAAACGGTTGCTACGTATAGCCCTAGCTACGGTATTTAGAGGAGTATCAAGGGGTATCTTTCGTAAACAAAGAACTGTTTCCGTTTTACAAAATTGTTTAAAATTAAGATTTCAAAATGAATATATATTGACTTTGCTTTCGGCTCAGTGAATATAGGCTTGTAATCACTTGTTAAATAGTGCTCCACTATAACAAAAGCAAATTCAATCTCATTTCAGAATCCCTTAGATTGTACCTTGTGTCACGAATTGAAAATAAATATATTGTAAATAAGGAGGCGTATTTACTTTTGAGCACGAGCATTTTAGACATGATAAAACACGACTACAAAGTACAGGTGTTATGAATAGCTTCAGACACGACTACAATAGATGCCGTCTCATTACATCAGTATTCTTTATATAAAGAATACTATAAATGAGGATGGACTTGATTGCGCCATTGCGGGATGAGTGTTTGAATTTGTTTTATTAAAAGCGCCAATAGCTGTCGCTGAAGCAATTTTCTTACGTAATTTACCAATATTATCATAAATCAAGTAAGACGTTTATCAATGTGTCCCAAGGATTTGAACGAATAAAAGAAATATTAATTTAATCAACAACATTAATGCCAGTTTTGGTACAAAACATACATAAAAACCACTGTCAAGGTTTGATATATTTGTATGTCATTGCCAATTAACCTACTTCAAAGATTCTGAATGTGTTTCTTAAAAGAACAATTCATTTCCCACTACTCATTAGTAATATTGCAATCTACTTCATTCTGCGTATAAATCCGTGCCAATGCCAGCTGCAGTTTTACCCAAACAGATCAGTGAGAAAGCTGTCGACCGCGTAAAATTCCTCGTAGTCGTGCAAGAACTGTCGAAGACATTGCAACTGCTTTGGACCCATTGCGACATAGACGCCTTCGTTCCCCATGTACATACCACATTCTTTAGGAATATCAGGGCCAGTATCTTCAACCACCATGTAGTCCCCTTCTTGTAGATATCGATGAAAGTACTCCAAAACCCCGTCTAGATTGGCATGTGCATCCTCGATGAACAACCACGGATGAGGGAGGCTCTTGAGGAATTCGTCAGTAAAGGTTTTCTCAATTTCAAACGAGTCGCCTTGAAGAAAGATTACATTTTCCGGCTTCAACTTGTTTACGAGCTCGCTTCGATTAGTGGTATCTAAATCCATGCTGTATATATTTGATTTAATACCTAGCAAGCCAAGCGTATCCGCCATCCAAACAGCCATACCTCCCGACAGAGTTCCTAACTCGATGATTGTCTTAGGCTTGACCATATCAAACAACTGATGGTACAAGACGTAATCAATAGGAGATTTACATATATCAAAGCCGCGGTATCTCGCTAAATACTTTCCATTACTTGTATTTATTCTGGCTTGTGCACGAACGTCTGTCCGGTCCTCCCTCTCGTTTATACGTTGGAAACGTTTCGCACTCGACAATATCTCATTTCGTTTTAAATTCTGCTGTTTGCGGAGTTCACTGTACGAGTCCGGTTCGTTGGCGAATGGAGGATTGTACTTATCGCCTTTAATGTAGACATCACTGTCTGCTGATGAGGACAAATTCTGCGACATTTATACCAGTTTGGCAAAATACTCGCGTAAAAGAAAACAGGCTTGAAGTGCTTCCACTCGCTCACAACCAAATTTCCTGTTCTAATCCCTATTTTTTAACAGCTGGGAAGTTTGCCGTTGCTGTGAGCAGCTGGGAAATTTGTTGTCGCTTTGTAGCCGGAAATTGCTGGTGGCTGGTGCACGCGATATTTACAAATATTCGAATAAACTAACACGAGAGAAATTTCAACTTATGATTTTGCATTTTTAAAGCGTTTTCCACTGGGCGGAATTTTTCTTTGTCTTGTGATTTCTCGGGTGGAACAATTAGAAAAGACAAAGAGAAATTCCGCTCCGCGCGGAGACGGCCTTAATTATGCAAACTTTGTGTTTTAAAAACGAGTTAGGATAAAACGCGGATACGGACGGACGGATGAATGACGGACGGACGGACGGATGGCGACGGACGGACCGGACGGATAACATATATATGTCATTATATAGTCTGCGCGCAGCCGCGCAGGGTAGTTAGTGGTTTACGTCTTCGCTGGTTGTTAAACTTTAAAATAATTTTGTATTTACCGAGAAATCAATATTCCGAGTATATAAATATATAAACTGGGATGTCACACTGATAGTTTGTTTACATTTCCTGGAGCATCAAATCTTATGTTTAACCACGGTGGTTTAACCCATTAGCTGGCAATGCGCCCTTCCCTTGTCCAGCGCCAGAACATTTTACTCGTCAGTGGTACAGGGTACTGCCAGTAAATGGGTTAACAAACCTATTTGCCAATGGCTCTTGTTAATCCATCAGCACAGTAATGACTTTAGTATTTACCCTGTCCAACGCCAGACGATTTTTAATACTCAGTCAGTGGTAGGGCCGTGCTGCCAATAAATGGGTTAACAAGGATAACAATAGCCTGCGTAGCGGTTATCAGAGAAAGGACAGCCTGCACGAAACCCCCTGCTTTGCCGTATTCACTCGTTCTCTCAGAGGACGAGAAATCTGACTGGTTCAAAATGAAAAAATATGCTAATTTATGCTAAATTCATACAAACACGGCGGATTAGCGGATGTATTATTGAGAGGCGTTTCTTTGAGTTTTGCATTCAAAAGCGCTTAATTAATATTAAAGGCCACGATTTACGGTTGAACATTAAAGGTATTTACGAACTTGGTTCACGAAGTTCTAGAGATATTGACTGTGGTGCCTTGCTGTCTGTTAGCAGCGCCTCTTTCACAACTCACGAGCGTGTTCGTTTTCATATTAATAAAATTCATCGACGACAAATAGATTTTTTCTTCATGATTTTGTAGCTAATAATTTTGTGCCAGGAGAGAATTGCTATAAATGCTTATGTCTTATGAACAGGACTTGCTCTCTGTGAAGTGATGGCTTTAAACACCTTTAATATTCTCTTCTCAGCATCGCTAGAAACTTAACATTTAATACATCACGGTTGACCGCTGTCGAAACTATAAATTATATTTGTACGTGTGCGAGAAAGCTACGAAATATCGTAGATACGGACTGCAAACTACTTGTGACAACGATGGAGATTGCCCTAGGCCTGGCGCTATTCCCACAGACTTCAATTTTCTTTAGCCGCCATCCGAAAATTACAGTATTTCGTTTTGAAATTTGCGAACATACAGTAATCTATATTATATTTATATTTCATTTTGATAAGTAAATTTGCAAACGTAAACAATCTGTGTGAATGTGTGATTGGCCAATTTTGACATCTGTTTAAAGTGGGCGTAGCCCGCAGGCTAAGTGGGCGGAAACGGGAAAGCATGGGTTTTCGTGCAGGCTCTACTTTCTCTGAGAGCCGCTACGCAGGCTAGGATAACAATAATAGGATGTTTCTGAAGGACTCGTTCAACACCCTGTAGTTTGTCTTTTGCTGTCAAAGGCAGCATTACTGCCCTGTGGGTAACCTAGTTTATTATATGGCATTGTACGTTTGTAAAAAATGGGTAAAAAAGGTCACGCGAGGGCCGAAACATTTGCATAAAAGAACAATTGTAAAAAATGTTCTCAAGCTTGGTTAGTAAAACTACTCTACAGCAATTTTTATATAGAATACTAACACAGTTGGATAGTATTTCAAGAAAAATACGAGGTATTTCGTCATTTAATCAAAGACAAAGACAACAAATATGAAAACAATAAAATTAATAAACAGTATGGACAAGTACGGTTTTAGTTCGCTTCATCTCATAAATATATCTCTTTTTATCGAAAACCCCCAGAAATTTTCAGGGAAAAAATATAAATCTGTGGCTGCTTTAGTTGTATTTTTTATTTAGGATGGTGTCAAATTCCTCGGCTATCTGCAAATAAGATTTGCAGCTCTTCACAAAGTCAAAACACAGCTATTCCTGACTTCTTTAATAGTTATAAACATTGTAAAATTTACCTTGTAATTTCGACTTTCGCTAACAAAAACATATTGAGAAAGTTCTTTATCCAAAGAAGGTGCTCCTTTTCTTTAGTTTAGGTTTATTTTTCTTCGTTTTGAATAGTTTTGAAAGACTTTTAGACACTTTTTGCCGTTTGAAACTCGGCTCTTGTCGCGGGGCAAAAAAATTGCGTATTGCCCGTGGAAAATCCTGCCTCGTCAGCAGCCAATCAAATTGCGCGATTCATCAAAACAAATGCTTGCCGTATAATAAATATTTCTACTTCATGATTGGTTATTTTCGCTAAGGAGTCACGTGAGATATGCGCGCGAAGCAAGCTAGATCACTTGCAAGCGAAACGTTGCGAAGAACACACGTAGAAACAAACAAATGGCGGAAAAAGACGAGATAGAAAACGAACTGCTCAAGGAGGACGATTTATCAACTAGCGAAGATGATCCGACCATAAAAAACGTCCTTCGATCGATAGATGCTCATATGGCTACTTTGGCGAACAATATGTCAAATATGAGTCAAGAAATCCGCAAAATAAAACAAACTCCAACCGCTACTGCCAAACGAGATTCTCGGGCGGTGGAGTCAGCAGAGTCTTTGACTCTGAGCAGCCAGAAAAGGAGGTCGAATGATCAAGAAGGGAGTGATGTTGATCCCCTGATCGACGACCATCCTTCAGAGCAAGAGACCGAATCAGCTGAAACTAAAGATGGCGACGAGGAAGATGCATTCCTCACAACGTTAGCTATGGAGTATTCGGCTGACGATAAAACAAGTAGTCCGGTCTCGACTCAGCTGGCTGATATCGTCAATAAGAGATGGTCGTCAAAATTATCGGACGACAAATTCAAAGAGAAAATAGCGAAATATGACCGACCAGAGAACTGCGAACGATTGTTTGCTCCCAAGGTAAATCCCGAAATTTGGTCCCGAATATCAAACATGGGCCAACGACAGGACCTTAAACTTGTCGCTATCCAAAAAACCTTGGTGGCAGTTGGCACAGCTCTCACACAGTCTGCTCAACTGCTTATGAATGCCCGCCAAACTGGCGGCATTCGGCGCCATGAAGGCGGCGAAAACAACACCATGAACGAAGTTCTCACACTTCAAGTGGATGCCCTTGCTCTCCTGGGGCATACAAATTATGACCTTTCACTCCGTCGTCGCGAAACGATGAAACCCAGCTTGAATAAAGAGTATGCTTCATTGTGCTCTTCCCAAACATCGGTAACCTCGATGTTGTTTGGCGATGAATTACAAAGCCAACTAAATGCAATTCGACCGTCGAATCGAATTAGCCAAACGGCCACCCAGTCCACGACTGGACATTTTGGCAGTCACAACAAATCGACTTTTCAACGGCATCCAAGAAATGATCGTGAAAAGTCTTTTTTATCCAAAGGCCCCAACCCGCGTTGGTCGAACAACAGATTCCCCAGTCATCAGAAAAAGCGGGAAGGGGGCAACAAGTTCAACAAGAAGTGACTGCCATCGACAAGGATATAATTTATACACATCTATCTAAAGTTAAGGTAAACGAATTTTTAACGTTTTTACCGGTGTTGAAGGAGCATTTTAACATGCAAATAAGCCACTTTCGTGGTGGTCGTCTTGCTCATTTTTATCATGAGTGGGAAAAAATTACTTCCGATCGAGAGATTTTAGATATAGTGAGCGGCCAACGTATAGAATTCGACACCATGCCGCTTCAAAACTATCCAAGGTCACTATCCAAGTGTACGGAAGCCGAACAGGCTGTCATACGGGCTGAAATTGTAAAACTACTTCACAAAGCTGTAATTGTTCATGTACAACATGAACCTGGAGAATTCATATCTCCAATTTTTGTACGCCCCAAAAAGGACGGCACAAGTCGAATGATTTTAAATCTGAAAGAGCTTAACCAGCATGTAGAATACCACCATTTTAAAATGGAAACACTCATTGATGCTATCAGGCTTATGACCCCTAATTGTTTTATGGCGTCAGTGGATCTTAAGGACGCGTATTATTCGGTCCCTATTGCCAAGCCACACCAAAAATATCTAAAATTTGCATGGGAAGGTTCACTATATGCATTTACATGCTTCCCAAACGGGCTTGCTAGTTGCCCACGGAAATTCACAAAACTTCTTAAACCAGTGTATGCAGTTTTGAGAAAACTGGGACACATTTCGCCCCCATACATTGATGATTCA